TCTAAGATCATAGAATATATCCTTGGGTAGAGGCTTAGTAAATATATCTGTTAATTGACTTTTAGTGTCTACATACTCTATTTTGCAGTTTCTTTTGCTGATATGATCTCTTAAAAAGTGATGTCTAATCTCAATATGTTTAGTCCTAGAGTGCATTACTTGGATTCTTAGTTAGATTAATTGCACTCGTATTATCACACATTAAGGGTATGTCATTTAAATATATACTATAATCCTCTAACTGTTGTTTCATCCACAGAATTTGAGCACAACAACTACCAGCTGCAATATATTCAGCTTCAGTGGTAGATAAAGCTACACATGCTTGTTTCTTAGAATGCCATGATATTAAGGATGAACCAAATAAATGACATGTCCCACTAGTGCTTTTCCTATCAATTTTACATCCACCATAATCAGCATCAGAATATCCTAATAAACTAATACAAGCATCAGACGGATACCACAAGCCAAATCCAGTAGTTCCTTTTAAGTATTTTAAAATATGTTTTACTGCAATTAGGTGAGATTCTTTAGGACAAGCCTGAAATCTAGCACACACACAGACAGAATGCATAATATCAGTGCTCTACTAGCAGTTAAGTATAATAGTGATCCTATCATACCTCTATACATAGTTTGATTAACTTCCAAACCTGATTCATCCTTGTCTAAATAGCATGAAGTTCCCATGGGTGTGTTGGCTTCCTTTGAGGTGTCCATTCCAAACTTTCTGAGAATCTCTTTGCAGTATTTAGTTTGAGAGATGAAAGTGCCATCTTTAAGTTGCTTGATTTGAAGTCCAAGGAAGAATGTTAATTCTCCCATCATAGACATTTCAAACTCTCCCTGCATAATCTTAGCAAATTCTACACATAACAAACTATCAGTTGATCCAACAATATCATCAACAAGTAGCACATCCTTAATCTCCAAAGTGTTTGCACCGCAGTTGCTTGATTGATTGCTAAAGGATGTGTGAAAACTTATATTCAATGTGTGTTTAAAAAGTTCAAGCCAAACTGTTTTTATAAACGATTTTCAAAACTGCTGGTTTAATTAATCTGTTAAAAGATTCTTTTAATCTGTTAAAAGTGCAGTTTTAATCTGTTAAAACTTCTTTTAATCGATTAAAACGCAGTGTAAAATTTTTTTTTAAGTTGTTTTAATCGATTGAAACGAGATTTAATCGATTAAAAGAGTTCTGATCGGTCATAACTGAATTCTGATCGATCATAACTGATTCTGATCGGTCATAATTACATTCTGATCGATCATCCTGACCCTTTAAGTGATTTTAATCGATTGAAACGTGTTTTAATCGATTGAAAAGAATTCTAATCGCTTATAATTAAAATCTGATCGATCACATTTGATTCTGATCGGTCATAGTTGGATTCTGATCGATCATCCTGACCCTTTAAGTGATTTTAATCGATTGAAACGTGTTTTTAATCGATTTAAAGGATTCTGACCGCTCATAATAAAAATCTGATCGATCATAATGAGTTCTAAATGGTTTTAATCGATTAAAAACAAGTTGTATCGATTAAAATACTGTAAAAACACTTCTTTGAACATTCTAAGTGATTTTATTTGGTTCTTTCAAAACTGCATCGATTAAAAACATGTTTTAAGAAAACTTTTGTAAAAATACTTTGTTTTTAGTTGTTTAAAACAATTTTAGAGGCTTTTCGCAAAAATCTTTAAGTGAAGAACCTTCATGCAATAGAAAAGATAAAATGTTTTTACCTAATCATTCTGTTTAAAACATACTAAATGATCCATTTTCTTTGAATAAATACAAGATACAAATAGATTTATTTAACAATTGGAACCCAAATATATTTACCTTTAGGAACACCAAAATGTTTAATTTTACACTTATTTGAAGTGTGACCTTGTTTCATACAATAGAAGCATGCATTTGGAGTAGCTTTAGAACAAGATACATTATTAACATGACATGCTCTAGTTCCTTTTTCTACCCATATTCTTTTCTTTTTAGATTTACTCTTTTTCAAAGGAACTCTTTGATTTACATTATTTTGAGCAATTACCATTTCATGCTTCCTAAGATCATCAATTTCTTTTTCGGCTTTGTCAAGCAAATGGTTAAGAATATCTATGTCATATTCATGCTCTTTACAATTTGCACAAGCTAAGTCCTTATTCTCATCTAAGCATACAATTTTCGTATTAGCTACCTCATTTTCTTCTAAACATGCAATTTTCAATTTTAAGGACTCATTTTCCTTTTCGGATCTTCTTAGATTTTTCTTTACAACTTTAAATTCGTTTTTCATATCCATAAATGCAGTAAATAATTCATTATAAGCATTTTGCAATTCATCATGGTCATTTTCTTCACTAGAGGATGAATCGGAATCACTAACCTCAAAATCCGAAGAAATGTTGTCATTTGCCATTAAGCAATTGTTTGCTTCTATTTCCGAGTCGCTTGATTCTGAATTTGAATCACTGTCATCACAAGCAATATATGCTTTCTTCTTGAATTGCTCTTTGCCCTTGTGTTCATCATTTTTCTTGTTTGGGCATTCGGTCTTTATATGCCCTGCTTCACCACAACCAAAGCATTTTATATTAACGGAAGAATTTTCTTTTACCTTTTCCTTACCTTTGAAAGGATGTCTTCCTTTTGCTTTCATCATCTTGGTGAACTTCTTTATAAAAAGACTCATCTCTTCTTCATCAATTTCAGAGTCTTCTTCTTCTTCTTTCTTATTTTTGCTATTTGAAATCTCGGTCTTGAAAGCTAGATTCTTCTTTTGGTATTGACCCTCTTCCTCATTTAGTCTTCCAAGGTCAAGTTCATGCTCTCTTAGCTTTCCAAATAACGCCGCCATAGACATAGTGGCAAGATTTTGTGACTCCGAGATGGCCGTCACCTTAGGTTGCCATTTCCTATCCAAAGATTTCAAAATTTTAACATTTAATTCATCAACGTCAAATACTTTACCTAATCCGGTGAGATGATTCACAATATGAGTGAAACGCTTTTGAACGTCGAAAATCGTTTCGCCGGGTTGCATCTGGAACATCTCGTATTCTTGGATTAGGGAGTTTTTACGCGCTCTTTTGACATCGTCAGTTCCTTCGTGGGTTACTCTAAGCATTTCCCACATTTCTTGTGCACTTTTACAAATAGAAATTCTGTAGAACTCATCAAGGGTTAGAGCAGATGAAATAATATTTCTAGCCCTAACATCAAATTGTGCTTTTCGACTTTCTTCGACAGTCCATTTATCAAAAGGTTTAAGAACGTCAACACCGTTCTCTGTAATTTTAGGAACAAATGGACCGTTTAAAATTGCGTCCCAAACGCCTCTATCAACAGACTCTAAAAATATTTGCATACGTACTTTCCAAAAAGGATAATTTTGACCCGCAAAAAGTGGGGGTCTGTTGATAGACGCACCTTCGGCAAAAGTTTGATTTTGTCTGGCCATTTTCGAAAAGTTTGAATGACTATCAAAGCAAGCTCTGATACCACTTGTTAGAATCGCGCAGCGGAATGTTCGCGTGGTCGGACAAAAATCAAGAGGGGGTGAATTGGTTTCTTAATAAAAATTAGGTTTTCAAAATTTTCCCCAAATTTTACCGATTAAAAACTGCGTAAATGTAAATAGAGAAGAGTAGAGAAGATTACACGAGTAGGTTTATACTCGGTTCGGATCAAAAGACCCTACGTCCGAGTTGCTAATCACTCAAAAAAGGATTAACGCTGTCACTAAGAACAAATTGTTACAAACAGTTTACAAATCAAAGAGATAAAGTAAAGACAACACCTCTCTTGAAATCCACAAGAGATGAAGAACAGACTTTCCCCGAGAGACGAGCACAAGACACAATCCACTAAGAACTCCACTTAGTGATTCTTATCGCTTCTAGCCCACACCAAGTTCCAAAAGCCCCTTTCCTTGCAACAAGCAGTTCTCGGCACTCACAAGCACTTAACTTTTGTATGGAAAGAGTTGTTCTTGTTTTTCCGAGTGCCAAAGGAGAGTTTAAGTAGGGAAATTAGGGTTTAGGAATTGGGGATTTCGAAACTAGGGTTCTTGGTAATTGGGTTTTCGAAAATAGGGTTTGTTTGAAGTTTAAAATCGAAACAGTCTGAAATAATCGATTAAATGGAGTTTTAATCGATTAAAACGAAGCCAAAAAACAGAACCCAAAACCTCTCTGTTTTAATCGATTATTTGAAGTTTTAATCGATTATTTGACCTTTTAATCGATTATTTTGATGTTTTAATCGATTATTTCCCTATATAATCGACTAAAGCCGAGCCTGGATGATATATTTGGGCTTTTTGAAGCTTCTAAGTTACAAACTATGTACCAGCTATCTTAGATTCTATAATTATAGACTCAATCAAACTAAAACAGAGTTATTACAATACGAAATTATAAATCTTCAATACTCTAAGTCTTTAAGCTTTTGGATCATCATCAAAATCAACATTCTTCATGATCATTATTTGCAACATCAAGTCCTTGAATGTTCAACATATAATTAATAAAAAATAAATATTATTTTTAACTTTCTAAATGACATATTTATAAATGGTTTATTCTCCTTTTAAAATAAAAAATATACATTTAGAAGATTTAAATCTTTTAACATGATTAATGCAAAACATTGGGTAGGTATATTTTTTAATTTTAATAATTAATAAATATAAAATTAATTAAAGTATCATGGAGAGATGGGGTTATAGGAGGTTATGGAACACATAACAATTCAGTGTTTGTCAGGATTACGGGGGAGAAGAGAAGTGATTTAAAAACCCAAATTTCAGTGTTTTGTTAAGAGTAGTTAGTTTTGTTGACTTTTCAAATAGCCTTTTGTTGCTTTCCAACTTGTTCAAAAGCGGATATAATTTTAAGCTTTCCCTCCCTAACTTCCCTCCGTCTCACTTCGCTACCGTACACTGAGTCTCCCACCATTCATTATCCACTCTCCCCCTTCTCCAATCGCCATGTTCCGTCTCCCCTCCGTGCTCCTCTCCCGCCGCCTCCACCTCCGCAGACTCTCCTCCACGCCCTCGCGCCCTCCTTCCCTCCCTCTCTCCCACCCAATCTACCTCATCTGGGGATCCAACACAGGAGTCGGCAAAACCCTAGTCTCCGCCGGCATCGCTGCCGCCTCTCTCCTCTCCTCCGCCACCACTCCATCCCAATTCCACTACCTCAAGCCCCTCCAAACTGGCTTCCCCGCCGACTCCGACTCCCGCTTCGTCCTCGACAAGCTCCGCCAACTCTCCCTCCTTCGCAACCCTCGCGTCCACCTCTCCTCCTCCCACCGCGTCCTCAACGTGTCTCCCGCTGTGCCGGAGACAATGCCGCTCGCTTGCAAGGAAGGGCATGGCCCTTCGGAGCTGCTCTGCAAGACCCTGTACGCATGGGAAGAGCCCGTGTCGCCGCACTTGGCCGCGGAGAGGGAGGGCCTGGCTGTGAAGGACTCTGTGGTGCTGGAAACCCTTGGCGAGTGTTTCGAGGACGTGGTGGAACGCGGGGCTGGTAGGGATAGATCGGAGGTTCTGTGTGTGGTGGAAACTGCTGGTGGAGTTGCCAGTCCAGGTCCTTCTGGGACGCTTCAATGTGACTTATATAGGTGTGTGGTGCAATATTTTTCTCGAGAAAATCCTTTGTGGATTCAACTTTCACTGTAAATTTAATTCAGGACAAGTGTTTTAGCGGTGAGTCATTGCATAATGTTCATATAAATAAAGTTCATAATAAATAAATATTTTGAATAATTAAATGGTTATACACTCGCTGGCTGTGTACAGTGTACTGTTAATCGAATTAGTTTTAGTTAGTTATTGTAAAAATAAAAGTTAATGAACTTATTTGACATTGTAGTTGTTTTTGCATAGATGACAGTAAAAGAAACCCCTTATATTTTTGGTGCATATAATTTTTTTTTTGTTTTTTTTTTTAATTTTAACGTATAAATTGTATTTCGGATTTAGAATGCAAAATAGTATATACTGCGCTTTGATATAACATTATTTTGATTATTGATAATTTCATAAAGAAACTATTAAAGTTCTATTTAGAAATAGAGATAAAAGATGGTATATTGAAAAATTAGACTGTTATGATGATTTACTCTATAAAAATAAACAAAAATAAAAAAATCGTAGTTTGAGATGGTTGAGACAGATTGTTTTGAATAGTTGTCAAAAGAAAAACCTATGGAGAATTTTGAACTGAGAGATTGGAGAAAATGAGAGTCTCATTATTATCCAAGTTTTGTATTCTAATTTATATAAGTAGATGTATATTCAAGTGGCTCAAATTTTGTTGGGTTTGGTAAATACAATTTCAAACGAAGTTTTCAATGATGGTAATTACTGTTTGATCCTTGCTAGTACCCTTTGTAGGAACGCATTCACAGGAATTCTATGGTTGACGCTAAAGTTTTATTATTTAGGCGAAAGGAAGCAAATATGTTGTATCACTGTATGTGTGTGTATATATATATATATGTGTGTGTGTGTGTGTGTGTACATACATATAAACACATGCTGGACTTATTTATTTTTAGGTTAAATACTGTTGTTCTTTCATTTCCTGTCAGGCCATTCCGTATTCCTGCAGTTCTCGTCGGGGATGGGCGGCTAGGAGGTATTTCTGGAACAATATCAGCTTATGAGAGCTTGATGCTGCGAGGTTATGATGTTGTTGCTGTTGCTTTTGAAGATCATGGTCTTCTAAATGAGGGTCCACTGATGTCTTATATGCGAAACCAGTAAGCCTGATTATACTAGTTACATTCCCTTTCTGATTGTAACTTGAAAATCAGAGAATTTTTATTTCTCAAAGGATTACTTTGTTCCTGTTTCCCAGCTTGTTTTTGTAAAACTGAAAAATTTATATTGAAAAGGTTTTAAGCGCTGACTTCTTATTAAACAAAATTAGTCTTCAGCTAAGTTAAAGCAAAGTATTGGAAATTAATAACAAAATCAGTCTCTACAAGAAAGGAAATGATTGTAATTTAGTTGGTTAAAAGAAAATGGGTAGGGTTTTATGGTGAATGCATTAATGGTCTCAAGCATGCAAATGGTTTCGGCATTATTACATCTTAGTTTTAATTCACTTTTGGTAGGTAGGAGTATTTAATGAGCACCATGAAATCTTGTTTGACAATTTAATGTATTTCAGAAGAATTAATTTAGACTGAACGTGTTGCTTGAATAATGTTGGCGGTGATAATGTTGTAAAATCAATATTCAGAATTATATTTTAGAATAATATTCTTGACAAAAGCAACAATTGTCACTTGTGCCAATATGGTTGGAGGCTTTCAAGTTCCAACACAAAATCATTCTGCCAACAGGTTACCAAATGTGAGTTTGAAACTTGAATTCTGCATTGAGCTTTATAAACAGGCCTCCCCCTACTATCTTCTATATTTCATTCTTTTAAAGTTCCTTCAAAGCTGCATGTGTTTATTATTTAACTTAGTTGGTTATCGTTTTTATTTTGGCTTTTCTGCTGTGTTGCATTATTATTGCTCTATCTACATGTACCAAAACTATTGCTTTCTTCTTTCAGGGTCCCTGTCCTAGTGCTACCACCCATTCCAAAAGATCTGTCAAATGACTTGATGGAATGGTTTGAGAGTTCTCATCATATATTTAGTAATCTAAAGGAAATAATGCTATCAGCTTATTTGGAGAGAATTAAAAGGCTGCAAGACATGCCAAGAGAAGCAAGGGATATTATCTGGTGGCCTTTCACTCAACACAAACTTATTCCTGAGGGAGGGGTCACAGTAATTGATTCACGATGTGGTGAGAACTTTTCTATATTCAAGGTTTGTTCTATGAAAATCTTTGTTTATTATTATTTTTCAATTTGTTAAGCTTTGCAATACAAATCATAGCGGGCTGCAGCACTATGTTGAGCTTAGCTTACTGTATTTAGGATCTGTTTGGATTGACTTCTTCATAAATACTTGCAAGAAAAAAAATATATAAGAAGGAAAGTGAAATGAGTTTGCAAAATAAAATTAGCTTATGCATAAGTTAAAATTAACTTGTGCATAAGCAATAAGCTTATTTTAGTTTATAAAGAAATTTATTTATTTTCAGTTTTCTTCTCTTATAAGTGTTTTTAAAAAAACTATCCAAACAAACCCTTACTGTTTACTTTGGAATTAGATTCAGTAATTTTATGGAATTACTTCATTCATACTTTTTAACATTTTGAAACTTAGATGAGACATCACATGATTTTTTTGTAAGGTTCAGAAGACAGAAGTCATAGCACCACAATTTGATGCATGTGCTAGTTGGTGGACTCAAGGACCTGATGCTATAATGCAGGTCATTCGCAAACCTTTTTTAGTTGTTAATGCTGTTGATCAAACTAATAATAATAATCTGTCATATGTCATTTTATTATAAATTCTGTTTTATCTTTTAATAGTTAGTTCTGAAATAAAAGTGGAAATTAGATAAGATTCTTAGGGACCAGAGACTATAAATAAGTCATTCTTTGTAAAGTCAATCATCATTCAGAAATTAAAAAAGAAGTTTGTTTCTCGTTCATCTTTGCACATCAGAGAAGAAGAGAGAGGTAGGGAAAGAAAAGAATCTTTCTTTACAATTGGTATCAGTTGAAAGGCAACGATCATGGTGACCAACAAGGAACTCGAAATGCGTGTGCTATCTTTTGAGAAATCTCTTGCAGATTCACAAGAACAAACGAATAAGACATTGTTGGCGATGCAGAAAACTATGGAGACTCTAGCAGCTTCCGTGGCGGCGTTAACAGCGGGAACCAACATTCCACCTCCGAACGACGGTGAAAGCGAATCTACTACGTCAGTATTACATCGCGCACAACTTCAATTTCCCAATTTTGATGGCACAAACTTTAGGGTTTGGCGAGCCAAGACAGAGCAATTTTTTGAATTAGAAGGAACACCAATGAACCAAAGAGGGAAATTGCTCTTGTTATCCATGGAAGGCAATGCCTTTGCATGGCAACGACATTACATCAAAAACCCCAGCTTCAGGTCGAAATCTTGGACCGATATCTTGCTTGATGTAGGAAACAGATTTGATGATGGAGCCTACGATGACTCTATTGCTGAAATCTCGCGCTTACGGCAACAAGAATCTTTGCCTGGATATCTTGAAAAATTTGATTCTTTGCTAGCGCGTGTGGTGATCTCTGAAGGCATGGCTCTCAGTTTCTTCCTCGCAGGTTTGGAAAGCCATTTAGAGAAATCAGTTCGTCTTCATAACCCCAAATCCATCCAAGAAGCAATACGTCTAGCACGATTACAGGATGATATTAATAAAGAATTAGACAAGAAGATCTCTACAGAGAAATCAGTAACTTCCAATGTGCAACCTCGCTACACAAGACCATGGCTTAATCAACCATTCACATCCAGAAATCCACCCATCACAACACTACAAAATCACTCTCAGAATTCCACTACTAATCAAGCTTATTCGGACTCTAAGGGAAGCTCAACTTCTATTTCATCTACAAAAGAGGCTAGTGAGAGAATCTCCAAAGGATTGTGTAGATTTTGTGGTGAAAAGTGGGAGAAAAATCATAGATCAAGATGTAAAGTTTGGGGAAAATTAAATGCGATTTTTTGTGCCCAAGAAAACTTCAATCAAGAAAACACAGATGTTAGTGAATATGAAGATGATGAATCTATAGTAGAAAACAGTTTAGCAATGCTGCATAGTGATAATGTGCATGTTTCTTTACATGCTTTGAGGGGTATAGCAGGTGGCAACACACTTCAGTTGCAAGGTCTCATTAAAAAACAGGCAGTACCTTTCCTAATGGACACCGGAAGCACTCATAACTTCATCAGTGCTAAGTGGGTGAAGTTACTGGGCTTAAAAACTCAACATGTTAAAGATTTTCCAGTTGTAGTTGCTAGTGACACACCTATTACGATCTCAAGGAAATGTGAAAAGCTAACTTGGAAATTTGGTGCACACAGTTTTATAGCAGATTTTCTAGTATTACCGGGCACAACATTCGGCATAATCCTTGGCATGCAATGGTTTCGAACATTGGGTGAAATTGCTTGGAATTGTGCTAAGTTAACCATGAAATTCCAGCATGAAGGGAACACTATAACATTACAAGGAGAGACGCAGAACAAGTTACTGCTACAGGATAGTGGAAAACTTAAAACAATTGATATTCAGGCAATGCTATTTCCTATCATTGGTCCTCTCTGTTTTAACATCATAATACTTGAAAATACTGGTGATTTGGATGAACAACAACAGCTGGAATTGGAGAACCTGTTACAAGAATACAGTAGCTTGTTTGTTGAACCTACTCAATTACCACCTAACAGGAAATATGATCATAAAATTGAGCTCACAAATGAGAAGCCTATTTGCTTGAAGCCTTACAGATATCCTCGAGCACAAAAAGAGGAGATTGAAAGACAGGTGAAGCATATGTTATCCACTGGATTTATAAGAGAGAGTTGTAGTTCATTTTCCGCACCATTGGTGTTGGTGAAGAAGAAAGACGGATCCTGGAGATGCTGTACTGATTTCAGAAAGTTAAATGCTGCCACTATCAAGAATAAGTTTCCTATACCATTAATTGAAGACCTACTTGATGAATTAAAAGGAGCTACTTACTTTACCAAGTTGGATCTAAGGAGTGGGTACAACCAAATCAGAATGGCTGAAGATGACATTCACAAGACAGCTTTTAGAACTCATAGTGGACACTATGAATGGGTAGTGCTTCCATTTGGGTTGAGCAATGCCCCTGCCACATTTCAGTACCTCATGAATGACTTGTTTAGAGAACATCTAAGGAAATTTATCCTTGTGTTCTTTGATGACATTTTGGTTTATACAAAAACGTGGGAAGATCATATCCATTGTCTCGAACAAACTCTTCAAATCTTGGAGGCAAATACATTGGCATTAAACTACAAGAAGTGCAATTTTGGCACACAGCAGGTCGAATATTTAGGCCACATAATAACTAAGGAAGGTGTTGCTCCTGATATAAGTAAAATAGAGGCTGTTCAGAAATGGAAAAGACCAACTACTTTGAAGGAACTTAGAGGCTTGTTGGGACTCTTAGGATATTACAGAAGGTTCATCCGAAACTATGGCAAAATGGCTTCTCCATTAACTGCTTTGTTGAAGAAAGACACAGCCTTCATTTGGGAACAAAAAGCTGAGGAGGCATTCAACAACATCAAACAGTCATTAACTTCTGCACCTGTTCTAGCATTACCTGACTTTCAGCAACCCTTCACTATAGAAACTAATGCATCAGCTTATGGAATAGGAGTTGTACTGCTGCAAAATAATCATCCAATTGCCTTTATCAGCAAAGCAATGGGTCCTAAGTTTCAACTCCTTTCTGCGTATGAGAAAGAATTTTATATTATTCTTTTTGCTGTAAAGAAATGGCTCCACTATTTCCTTGGGAATCACTTCATAATAAAAACAGACCAGAAAGCTTTGAAGCATCTCCTTGAGCAACCACCTACAACCCTCATGCAGAATTGGGGTTTATAGCAGCTTATGGGGTTGGACTTTAGTATAGAATATAAAAAAGGGAAGGACAATGTCGTGGCAGATGTTCTATCCAGAAAATGTGTTCCAGGACAATTAGTCACCATCTCACATTTGTTAAATGAATTGGTCATTAAAGTCAAACAAACTTGGCAACAAGACCCCAAATTACAGAAGATCATTGACAAAATCAGACTGACAGGAGGCCCTCACAAACACTATAGTTATACCAACGATTTACTCAAAAGAAAAGGGAAGTTAGTAGTAGGTGCAGATAAACAGCTAAGACAGACAATTCTTAGCCATTTTCATGATTCCCCAATCGGAGGACATTCTGGAATTGATCAGACTTACAAAAGAATAAAATAGCATTTTTACTGGAAAGGATTACAGAAAGAGGTAAGAGTATGGGTAAAGGAATGTAACACATGCATGAGATTCAAATCATTGCCTCAACTTCTAGCAGGGTTGTTGCAACCTTTACCAATCCCTGATGGGGCCTGGAAATCAATAACAATGGACTTCATTATAGGGCTGCCCAAGTCTAACGGATTTTCAGTAATTTTGGTGGTTATAGATAGATACACAAAATATGCACATTTCATAGTATTAAAACATCCCTTTGGTGCTGCTGTAGTTGCTACTAAATTCATGGAAACCGTGGTAAAGTTACATGGCTGGCCACATGAAGTTATTTCCAATAGAGAACCTATCTTCTTGAGTACATTCTGGAATGAATTGTTCAAATTCCACAAAGTCAAGTTGTTGAGATCTATAGAATTCCACCCTCAGACGGATGGACAATCTGAGGCATTAAATAAAACCTTAGAGGGATACTTAAGATGCATCACAGGCGATACACCTAAACAGTGGTAAAGTTACACCTAAACAGTGGACCACCTACCTGTCCTTTGCTGAACTTTGGTACAATACCAAGTTTCATGCAACTATTCAGATGACCCCCTTTGAGGCCTTGTATGGCTACAAACCGCCACTACCTTGTCCAACATTAATAGAAGGCAGTCTAGTGGAAGCAGTGGACTTTATTATGAAGACTAGAAATCAGATTTCCAGGTTGTTACACACCAATTTGACAAAAGCTCAAGAACGAATGAAGTTTTATGCCGATCAGAACAGAACTGACAAAGAATTTGCTATTGGAGACATGGTTTACTTAAAGATCCAACCATTCCGACAACATTCCCTAGCTAATTCAGCCTTTCATAAGCTTGCAGCTAGATATTTTGGGCCATATAAAGTATTAGAGAGAATAGGAAAAGTGGCTTACAAACTTGAGTTACCTGCTGGAACAAAAATACATGACGTGTTCCACGTGAGTCTTTTAAAGCAATATCATGGACATCACCAGGTATTCCCTCAATTACCAGCATTTAATGAAGATGCAGAAGTCACTCTACAACCCATGACAATTTTAGATAGACGCATGAAGAATAAGAACAATAAAGTTGTCACTGAAGTTCTAGTACAATGGGAATTTACAAATCCGGAGGATGCCACGTGGCACGAGCTTCAAGAATTACAGCACCAACATCCAAGCTTTGATTGGCTTCCGTGTTGACTAGACCTTGAGGACAAGATCTGCTTTCATGGGGAGAAAACTGTCATATGTCATTTTATTATAAATTCTGTTTTATCTTTTAATAGTTAGTTCTGAAATAAAAGTGGAAATTAGATAAGATTCCTAGGGGTCAGAGGCTATAAATAAGCCATTCTTTGTAAAGTCAATCATCATTCAGAAATTAAAAAAGAAGTTTGTTTCTCGTTCATCTTTGTGCATCAGAGAAGAAGAGAGGTAGGGAAAGAAAAGAATCTTTCTTTACATAATCAAATTAATGTCGGCTCTAGGGACAGAGGACATGTAATTACATTACATATCCCGTTCTTAAGGTGGAGACTGGTGACCTAGGGATGCAATAGTCCTCCAAATTTTTTTAATTTTTATTAAATATTATATATAAAAATATATTTTGGCCTGCCCTCTAAAAAGAAAACATGAGATTTATATTGGTCACCATCCTATAACAACTCTGCCTCGGACACTGTTCTTCCTTTCTTTTAGTGTTGGATATATATGCTCATGAAAAAGTGTTCTCTCAATCTTTTGATTTCCAATGCCTCAAGACCCTGAACTTTACATAATTAGTTTGAGGCCCAAATAAAACAGAGGGTTGAAATGTACTTTTAAGTGTTTAAAGAATCTTTATGACATGGATCTACAATACATTTTCATATATTTTTATTTGATACCAATCGTGTTTGGCATATTTAAACTTGGTCGCCCCTTAATGTTATCATCTCTCAAGTTTCGCTTTAATGCCATTTTCCCATTTAGGTGATTTCAGGCTGCGCTTGCTAGGGAGATGGGATATGCTGCTGCTAGGTTTGGGCATGTAATGTTCCCTGAGAATGTTCATGAGCCAGCCTTAAATTGTGCTGAGCTTTTGCTTCAAGGTGTGGGGAAAGGTTAGTATGTCCTTTTATTACTTTTACATTATATGCATTTATGTGCACATGTGTATTAATTGTAGAGCTTCTACATCAACTATAAATGTGATCAATATCAATGTAGTTCTTATAAGGCTTGCTAATCGCAAATTCTAATATGGTATCAAAGTCTAATTTAAATTTGTTACTGGGCAACCTATATTTGTCTATGCTCTAGATTTGTACTCCTAGGCATGACGGGGTGCTGTTATTGGACCACGTGCATTTATCCATGCTTCAAATGTCCACTTCTGTTCTGGGTGTGTGTGGTCATGTTAGTGTCTCACATTTATACGGCTTGGGCAGTTTTTTTTTTTTTTTAAATTTAGTTTTATTGGGTTGAGTTAGGTTTTAAACTTATATTATAATAACAACTAATTAAAATTTGCCTACTGGTTGGTTGTAGTATTGAATTTAATATATTATCTGAATCATGATCTCAGTGCTATTTGATACTTTAGATAAAGGCATACATTTCAATTTAATCCTTCTGATATTTAGAGATATTTGCCAATGCTCATTGTCATCCACTGAATGATAATACATTATGAGCAGTTTTCAGTTCTTTGCACAGTAGCTGACTCATTTATTGTGCAGGCTGGGCTTCTCGAACATATTTTTCTGACAATGGATCTACAGCAATTGAAATTGCTCTCAAGATGGCATTTCGTAAATTTTCTGTTGATCATGGGCTTATTGTGGATTGTCTTGAGGATACCACAAACGAAAGATCTGCTGAGCTCATGGTTAGCTCCTTCAGTCCTTTAATTAATTTGAAATCTTTTGTCTCATTGTGTATAAAGTACAATTTTGACTTATGGAGATGGTATTCTATAAAACTAATGTTATAATTTGCTCTTAAAAGTAAAAGAAGGCACATATTTGGAGTTAATATCAGTCAAGCCCTTTTTATGCTTGGGGAGAGTAAAGCAACGGTTTGAAAACTAAAACCACAATGTTGTGTCAAGAATATTTCATTTTGAATGAATATTTTGTGTAATATCTGTGTTTTAGAAACTGGTCTGGACTGGCCAGTTTAATTGGTCCAACTGAGAACAGACCTAAAAACTGATCCATTGTTTTCAAATAATTGGATTTTAATTAAATTTAAATTCGGATGGATTTTTTTATAAAGGATAAAATATTTTTTTGTATTTTTTTTCTTATGACATGAGTCACGTTAACTTTAAATAATAGTTATTTTATTATATTTTTATTTTACTTTTACAGTTATCGATCTTTCACTTTTACTACATTTTATATTTGTCATCTTTACAACTTATTGCTATCATGATAATAATTTTCATTGTAATTATTTTTCTTTCTTTTATAACAAAATTGTTATTATTAATAAATTTATTATATTTTTACTTACTATATTATTATATTAAATCCAGTTAGATCCCGGTCAAAATTTTAAACTTTGAACTCATGCTTTCATTAGTTGAGTGACTGGTTCGATTTTGAAAAACTTTGTGTAATATGCTTGAAGTGTCAATAGTTGAGACTATAGCTAGGATATGTAACATGTATAGCATTTTTATTATGCATTTTTCTCTTAATACTTTGAGTAAAAAGTCTGTTTTCATAGTCGTCCCGCATTCCCTATATTTGTAATGAATAAGATTATTTTTATGGTTTTCATTTGGTTCTCGTTATTTGACAATCCGTTCTGCATTTTGTTTCATGTGTTGCGTTGATTTTTCTTTATTGAAAATGTAAACAGTATTTTTTAGTTAAGGAACAATCAACTGCCCAGTTGTTGATTTAGATATTAGGTGGCTTCTTGTTGACCACTCTTCCAACATCGTTGACCAATCGAGTGGTCATTTATTCCTAAACTATTAACTTAAGAATTTGTTTTCTGTAACAAGGTCCTGCTAAGAAACATCCAAAAAGCATTATTTAAGGGATTAATGAAATAGAAAGTTTTATTGGAAATCATGTTAGGGTTGCATTAGAAACCATAATAAAGGCATGCTAGTGACACTTTCCATAAATAATTTTCCACTTTTGATTCCTTAACAAATACCGTAAGGGCACTTCTTGTTAAATTATTTTCCAAGTAGGTGTTTGTGTATTTTCACTTGTTTTTCTAACATGTAAAATATTTAATCCTTTTTATTTAATTGCATTTCATCCTATGAAACTCACATGCAATTTAATACGTGTGGATTTCATTATTTCAGGTCCTTGCACTGCACAGATCTTATCATGGTGATACACTTGGTGCTATGGAAGCACAGGCACCATCTTCTTATACAGGCTTCCTTCAGCAACCCTGGTCATAGACATTGCCCTCTACTGCATATTTGTAAAATTGAATTGGTTATTTGGGACTTCAACAGAATCTTTGCTCATTTCTTTAATCTTTTACTATTGTCATCAAGCAATATATTGTTATCAAAGTAATATCTGATAGATATTTACTAAAAGTGCTCCTGGTCAATTAGTAAGATTTGAATTTGGGATTTAGCTAAAATGAGAGTGTATAATCTCTCCATTTAAAACGTTATAACAAAAAGGTGTTGGAAGATAGACCAAAAGTAGTTGAAACAGTTTTTGTTTGTGAATTTTGTTTAGCATCAGTCAAATTACTAGTTTTACTTATTTTGTTTAAAAATGGTTAAATAGTTTGTATTGTCTTACTATTTTTTTCAATTTTGTCCCATAATTATTTTCGATGTTGATTTGATACTCTTCTATTTTTCAAGTGAATCAATGTGGTTCTTTTTGTCAACTTTGTTAAGTTGTTTAATAAGAAGTGTAATGTGATAATGATGTAATCAAAGTTGTTGATGTGGTGCTGACGAAATGTTGTCATGACATTGACATATCTATGCCATGTAACATATTGGCATACACCTTAGCAAGTATGATGACATCATTGTCATATGACACATTTTGTAAGACAACATAATAGAGTTGACAGTAGGGACCATGTTGGTTCACTTAAAAATAATAATATATATATATATATATATATATATATATATATATATATATCAAAATAATGGTGGTATGAAATTAAAAAAATAGTGGAAAAAAGAAACTATTTAGCCTTTAAGAGTATATACTTCATGCATAGTATACTTTTGTTTAAAATCCTTGTTAGAGGCAATGTTTTATTTGATTGTGTATTTTGATATTGCTTAATAGCTTGATGTTGTTGATCATTGTTTCTTGGAGCATATTTTCCATATTACTATCAGGGAATTAATTTTAGTTTTCTAACCTAGCTAATACTCATGACAGCCTTCTAAGTTTGAATTCTTTCTCACAGGTACACCGGGAGAGGTCTTTTTCTGGATCCTCCTTCTGTGATTATGCGCAACAATACATGGAATATTTCCATACCTGAAGGGTATAATTGGGAAAGTCTGAAAGGTGAAAGTATCAGTAAGTTCAAAATTTCCAACTTTGATTCTTTTATTGGTTACTGTTTAAAATATAATTGTTTTACTTGTTGATGCTTTCACAGCCTTTGCCTCACGTGATGAAGTATTTCACAAGGGCAGGGATAAGTCTGAGCTTGCTACAGTTTATTCATCTTACATATCAAAAGTATTATCTGGATTTAAAGGGTCAAATAATGTTGGAGCCTTGATTATGGAACCAGGCAAGACATTTTGAGATTTTTCTTTAGCAGATTATAGTTCCATTTTATTTTAACTATCTCCTGTACCCAATAAAGTAATTCTGTTGATCATATATTCTAGTACATGAAATTGATAAGTGGCCCTCTCGGTATTCTAATTAAACTTATTTTAAACTTTTCTCTGTATTGATCATCTCATTTGGGGCCTGAGCTGTTACGTAGTTATACAAGGCGCTGGTGGAATGCATATGGTTGATCCACTTTTTCAGCGTGTGCTTGTTAATGAGTGTCGAAGTAGAAAAATTCCAGTAATCTTTGATGAGGTTTTTACTGGTTTTTGGCGTTTGGGAGTGGAGGTGATTCCTCACAATGACTGCTATTCTCTTATTTTTAAAATTTTATTTCATTTTCTTCTTAGTTCGTTTATTTATAAGCAGTTTATATTTCTTTCCGCAGACTGCAGGGGGGCTAATCCATTGTGTACCAGATATAGCTTGCTTTGGGAAGCTGCTGACCGGTGGAATCATACCATTGGCTGTCACCTTAGCAACAAATGCTGTTTTTGATTCATTTATTGGAGACTCAAAGGTATTGTGATTTTTTAGAAGACTTCCATCTGTGGGTTGGCTAGACACTGCCATCTGAAATTGCTGTTTCGTTTTATCTGTTCTGGTAACGATGGAATGGATTGATTATTATATTGATATCACTGACAAGTTCTACAAATTAGGCACAAGGGAGAAGTCCCTTATTCTTTCTAATAAAGTACTAGGTTCCTATTAGTTTGCTCATTATTTTTGGTCCTACTAGTATATTGTTCCTACGAAGTAAAGTTTCTATACAGTATTTGATGACATAATGAGTTATAATCTTGTTTTGGTTTAGCTCAAGGCTCTTTTACATGGGCATTCTTACTCTGCACATGCTATGGGCTGCGCTGCTGCTGTTAAGTCAATCCAATGGTTTAAAGACCCTTGTTCCAACCCTAATATCGCTCCTGAAGGAAGATTACTTAAGGAGGTATGATTACTTTGATTTTTTTCCTCTGAACTTATTACATTAGCTTCTTGCTCCACATAATAAATAAACACCGAGAAAAAAGTATATTTAATCCATCTTTTTGTTGTAATACTTTTCAAGGGTATATGTCTATGGATCTCAATACACCAATCAAATTCCTAATGCATTTCTTGTGATGTAATGAAACAGGGATACGTTGTTCACTTGTTCTTATCATCTATAATGCGTTTCTGCATTTTTGAGTGTGTCCAAGTTTTTGTTAATTATAAATTGAAGAAATACATAAACAAGTGACATGTAAATCTTATCAATAGACGAAATCATTTGAAATAATTCAATATTTAAATTGTGGGAGCATATAAATAAACAAAATAAATTGAAATAATTCAATATTTAAATAAAAAGATATGGTAATCCTCATTAGTCCACATTATTATCTTCCATGAAAGAAATGTTAATTAAATATGTTATAGTTTCAATAGACATTTGACATGGTTTGTTTTATAATTATGGGACTTGGCCAAATTACCGTTGGAAGCTTTTCATATTAAATTCTATGACTGCCTCCTGCCTTAGTAAAGTATGTCATTGTTCACTATAGAGTAGTGTTCAATGTTCATTTGACCAAGCTTTTATTATGCATTTGCAGTTATGGGATGAGAAAATGGTTCGCCGGATTTCATCACACCCTGCAATTCAAAGAGTAGTGGCTTTGGGAACTTTGTGTGCTTTGGAATTAAAAGCAGAAGGAACTAATGCTGGGTATAAAGTTATCAACTTTCTCCTTTCCCCTTTTTAATAATTTTTTGCACCTCATGTTCTAGAATTCCTTCGTCAGAAAAGCTTAATGAGCATTATATATGCGTCATACAAAAGTTCGTACGTTTCGAATTAAGCGACGATTGCTAGGATATCTGGAAGGGTTATTCTGCTGTGCTACCACTGTAGTTTTGGTAGTTATGATATTGAATTGCCCTAAAAGAATATTACTAGAGTTAAAAGGAAGCTCTCGAGAAAATATGGGTTTGATTTTAACGTGTAAATTGACACAATATCTCTTGGTTGTAAGGTATGCCAGACTTATGGAGGGCTGTGAACTACAATCCATTGGGTTGATAATCATTGGTCGTGCATCATTCTGTTTACCAGTAGTTTTTTTACATTTAAGTTATTGTTTTGTTACGAAATCTTGTAACTTTTTATTGGTAAAATGTACACATAAATCATTAATTTTGAGCACTTAACTGGTTCGTGAGAATGAAAGAACGTGCATTTGATCCATCACGAAGTTTTCTTCTAAATAAAGTTGTACGCAGGTATGGATCGTTATATGCAAGACCACTTCTGGAGAAGCTCAGGGAAGATGGTATATACATGAGGCCTTTAGGTAACGTCATTTATCTTTTGTGTGGACCCTGCACATCTCCAGAAGTTTGCAATCAATTACTGGTCAAACTTCATTGGCGGCTTGAAGAATTTCACGGAGGTAAAAATTGAGCATCATGTGGGTTACCAAGTTGACAAGTCTAATATTCCTGTTACGGAGTTTAGGTAAGTAAATTTCTTTTTGGGTCGGGGATATCCAAGGGTTGCAATAAACATGGTTTTAGTTTCAATTTTCATTTGTATTTAATTTATTAATACAAAAATTTCATCTTATTATCAACTTCCCTCTTATTTCTATGATGTTATGCATAAAATGGTTAAAGTCTTTTTTTCTTTTTTTTTCTTCATTGAGTAAAAACGATATAATTTTTTAAGTAACTAAATTATTTTAACTGAAAACAAACCCGTATAAATTAAATATCACCTAAGTTATTAATTTTTTGCGATATTTAATTTCAATGTTACAAAATCCTTTAAACCTCTTTACTAAATATGGATTATTTAATGTTACATTCGATATATATGTAGTTTATTTATTTTTTGTTACTGTGTTATAGGTATGACTAATTTTCATTGGAGGACCGGAATAGAACTTTCTTAATTTGAGATTGATTTTTTTTTTTTCAAAACAAAATAAATATTTTCTGACACCTTATTTTGGAATAAAGAAATCTTAGTAGATGTATTTTAAAGAATTTGTGATTGACAAAAATGTTAGTATGGATTAGAGAAATATAAGATAACATGTTATAAATATTGTTTTAAAAGCGTTTTCTATGGGGATGGAGTAAGTGTTTTAAAAAGATCATGAGATGGCAACAATATTTTATCTTAATTGAAAATTTTGGATTTAATTCATTATATAATTATTAAATATTATATAATGTATATATATATATATATATATATATATAATTGATTATATCTAATAAAATTTGAATAATATATTTTTACTATAATTAAAAAATATATTATAATAATAATAAAATGATAATAATAAATTATTAAATATATTTGACTTCTTTAATTTTTATTGTTTTTCTTTAATTTTTATTATTTTTCTTTAATTTTTATTATTTTTCTTTAATTTAAACTTTTTTTTTCTCATTCCTTTCAATATTTCAAATCCCTTCTTTAATCCGAACGTAATTATATAGTAAATACGAGGAGTTGTGTAGGTCTGAATTTTGCATTAAAAATATTTCTTTAAAAAGCAATGAAATAAATAATTATCCAGTAGTCAAATGAAAATAGAAACAATATTACAAATTTTATTTTTTTCCTTATTCATTGAAATGCTTTTGACAATCTTGTTGCCCACATTAGGTGGTCAGTGAACAAACAGCTTTCAAACTGTCCCACTGCAGTTTTCTTACACCCCCATTCATTCTTGTGTCATTTTTGTGAACCGTCACGTTCTTTAATTTAATTTTAATAACCCTAAATATGTCTGACCAATCCTGTTTTCTTACCACACAATTTAGGATTATGAATTTAACTATTAATTGCGAAACACACATCCTAAGGGATAACACTGTCAACATGGTGTTATTATTAATTTATTCCTATCCTTGAGTGGGTATTAATTAAAGAATGCAAACATTAATATTCTCAAAGTGCTCACCGCCTAGTACCATATTTATTGTTTCAATTTCAGTTTCAGTTTCAATAATATAAGACAAATGTTAACTACTGTCGGACAGGAATTAAAAAGTTTTTTTTTACTAGACTTAAAAAAAAATTGTTTTATGTTTTGAACACACTAATTATTAAGATTATAACTCCGAAAATTAGTTGTCATATTTTTACTGGAATTTATTTTTTATTTTTATTTTAAAATTGATTAATACAGTTCTTTGAATTCTTAATATTTAGTAATTATTTTTATTGTTATAATATATAATTTTGAAAGAAAGATTAAGAGACTAGTTTAGAATAATTGTGAAAATTAGATTATTTGAATAAGCGTTTATATAGATAATTGATTATAATAATAAAAAAATAGGTTAGTTTAGAAGTGATGATAACATAATTATTTTTTAAAATAAAAGAAAAACTTCTAAATGAAAAAATATTACAAAAATCATTAATGACAAATTAACTATAAAAATGTCTGTAGACTGGACTATAAAAATTAAAGAAATTTTGTTAAAATAATAATAATAAATATTTCACTAACTCCAAGTCCTCGATACAATGGGAAGGTGTGGCATGCTGTAAACCACAACAAAAGTAAAGTGATGATGTTAGGTGTTGGTCAGCCAGTGACGTGGTGGGAGAGTACACGCTGTCTGCACTGACGCACCAATTGCCCCTTTCTCTATTCTCATCCACCCAACACACGGCCACGATTGCACCTTTCTTTTTCCCTTAAACGACAGGGCTCCTTCTTTCTTCATAATTAACCACACAAAACATGCCACTGTCTCAAACTCTATTCTACTAATATTCATGCACCAATCATCGTTAAATAAAATATCACGATAATCAATCATAACCGTCAACTAACAAGGACCATTGTTCCGCAAAGCAGCTGATTATTCTCTCTCTCCTCAAGTTGAAAGTCGCCAGAGTGGACCGTAGCAATACGAATGAACTGAAACTGTTGGACTTGCAACTGAGGCCAGAACCAAAACTTGTTTCATGTAATTCATTATTTCTCTCTCACCAACACTCTCCACTTTTCTCTCTCAGGTAGAGAAACCTTCTTTTTCTTGCTTTATTTTTCCCTCTGTTATATCTCCTTCCTTCAATTTTTTCAGCTCGACCAAATCAACCACTGTTTTTATCCAGTGTGTTCACTTCGTTTCCAGCTGTTTTTTCAAAATTCGCTTGTAGAGGTTGCATATTTAAGGTTCGCAAGTGTGCAATTTGTAGATGTTTCGTGGAATTCGAGTTTAGTTTGTTTTGTTGTGGTGTGCTAGATCTGTTGCGAGTTTCGTCTTTTCGGGGATGTAGCATCTAGGGTTTCATTGCTTGTTTATTTTTTTTAGTGTTGGTGATAATGGTGGTTTTGTGTGGGTGTGGAGTGGCTGCAGATTGGGTGATTTAAGGTATTGTTCGGGGAGAGAGTGTAAATGCAGAAACCATCTGCTGACGCAATTAGTATGGGGAAAAGGAGCTTGGAGGGTGGAGAAGATGATCAGCCTGAACGAAAGAGGCCTGCTCTCGCCAGGTAAACTAATTGCTCGTTGATTTAATTCGTGTGCTTCCTTGAATTTCCTTTGTAAGACCACCTTATAAGTTTGGAGGTGGGGGATTTTAATATTGACTTGGTCACTATGTTGCATTAGGTAGTTAATCTGAACAATGAATAATTTTCTTTGGGGCGGGTGAGTGCTAGTTCTAATTGAACAAGTGTTTTTGTACTGATTCGCAGTTGTAGGCAAGTGAAAGGAAAGTGGATGTCACTATAATTGAACAATATGCTTACTTCGGAAGTCATTTTTCTTGTTGGTTAATTATATCTCACTAATCCTAATTTTGTATCCCTAACTTAATTTTGCTACTTGAGTTGGATGATTGTTGCTATCTTCTTAAAAGTGCCGTCGTAATTGCACTTTTTGTTGCCAATTGTCATTTTGGAATGGAATTTTACATGTTATCAGTGTTTAGCACAGACCGGTGTCATCTTTTCACTGTAGTGGTTCATGCGAAAATTTTCTTCTTGATGGTTTTGATTACATTCTGAGTATCACTGTATCATTAATTTAAAAGATTCTTTCTGAAATTTCCATATCGTCCTAGTGGTCAAACCAGTTATTTGAATGGCCAAGCATAGTTAACTAAGGTTGACACAGTTAATTAATTTGTTTTTCTTGTTTTTTCTGCTTTCTGCTTTTTTTCTACCCTTTTTGTGCAAGGAGGAATTCTTAATATTTGATTGTGTATCTCAGAATTTTCTTCTCTAGTATTCTTTCTTCTTTAATCAAAATTCTATTGTAAATGGTTTTAACTTGGAATATAGTAAATATCGTGACTTCAGAGATTCCATATCTTTGCTTATGATATATAAAATGTATTGCCACCTCTTCAGAAACAGTTGAAACTTGCTTCCTTCTTGGCACTGGAGATCCTTGGCTTGATATTATGAAGGGCATATGTGGGAAGCATCTCCCACTTCATAATCTACAGTCATTCTCTGAAAAGAATTTTAAATTTTGCCTCACTTTTTACTTATCTTACATGTTTTCTATTGTTTATTGATGGCTGTTTTTGTTTGCTGAAATGCACTCAAAGCTATCTTCGAGTGATGATGAGGTGGTCAATCAAGTAAACAGTAATTTAATAACAAATGAAACGTTTCACGTTTATTTCAAGTAAATCAACATATATGCTTATAAATTTATCTGTTAAACAAAATAAGATTTTATTTCTTATTAATCATAATCCATATGCTACATGTTTCTAATTTATATTTGTTGTTAGTTTTCCATAATTTGTTGACATATATTTTGCAGTGTAATTGTTGAAGCTCTCAAGGTGGACAGTTTGCAGAAGCTTTGCTCATCTTTAGAGCCTATTCTACGTAGAGTTGTAAGACAGTTGGCTTCACACTACTTTCTCACCCTACTTTTTGTTGTATACTTTTCTCTTTGACAGGTTTATTTTTTGGGTTGGGGCACAGGGGCTATACATTCTACAAAGTTATTTTTCTTTATACACCAACTAGAAGCCATTTTGTACACATTACATCAATTCTTAAAAGTCATGCCATCCTATGTACTTTATGAGAGTGTTGGAGTATTTTTACTTGACTGCAGACATTCTCCTACCTATTTGTAAAATGTTCTTAAATGAAATAACTAAATTCTATACTATTCTTGCTTGCTTTAGGAGACCTATATAGTAGCATGCTACAGTGATGTAGAAGATTGAAGTGGCCTGAGCTATGGAAAAAGTAGTGTCTTTTTGCATGCTAGTAGTGCTACCGTAACATAGGCTTTAATAACCCATTTTTAGCTCTCGAACTACATGTTTAGGGCTTTTAGGGTATAATTGTGATTCCCCGCCCCCCCCCTCCCCCCCCTCCCCATTTTCTAATGCATTTGCTATTATTAGTTGGATCATCTGTGTGAAGATGTGTTTGGCGCATGATTCAGAAATTGGACAACTTTTTATTCATAGAAGAGATTATGCCGTGAAGATTTATTTTGCTGTACCTATATGTTTCTGCATTTTGGTTCTTAATTTATTCAGTAATACTGATGTGAAACAGGTGAGTGAAGAGGTTGAGCGTGCTTTGGCAAAGTTAGGTCCTGCAAGACTTGGTGGAAGGTTTAAGAAATTCTTTACAAATTTCGAAATTAATTTGAATATATTGTAGTTATCATTGTATCCCTTGAATTATAACTACAATTAGATAATCTTATGATATATTGGGTGGTTTGTAAGTAACAATTTCGTGGATTTTGGGTGAAAAATATATACTCTCTGGAAATTATCTTGTGATGATTGATTGCAATCCATAATAATGGTGGTGGTATGCGACAGGAATGAACATGACATGACTTGTGTTTATGATTAAACTCATTTCAAAAGTATCTTTTTCAAAAGGATGGTGTTTTAAAAATAAGGAAGATTGCTTTATTTTTTGTTTGGGTAGGATAACAAATGAGTGGCAAAGAAAAGAGAATATGAGTTCAGAGGATGTAGAATTCTCTCATACGAGACCAACCAACTATAAAACTATGAAAGTAAGCCTATCACAAAATATGATGCGGCAGGGAGTCTATTGCTAAAGATTATTCCAGTGTTAAACTCTAATAAAATACATCACACCCTAGCTTCTTAAGTTGTTAGGATCCAATTGCAAGGTATGGGGTTTGAGTTCCATATTTAAAGTATGAGATTCTATTGTGTGGTTTATATTTTGAGCTCTCCGGCTACAATGACTAGCTTTTACAGTGTTGTTCTTTCAATGTCTTTATCAATTGGTATCGAACCTTTCACCATTTCTCCCAAATGCAAATGAGCAACATGGGTGGTGATGTTGTTGACATTGTAGTATTCACTTGGGACTAGTCAAAGGGCTAATGCACAGTCAACCTGGATCGTTGCCACCACTGTGGCTGCAGAGTCTAGTGGTATGTTAAGAAGATCCAATTGCATACTCGAGTCCCAAGTTGGAAGTATGGGATTCTAGTGTGGGATAAGACCTTGGGATTTCCAACTACAACAACTACTAGCTTTTGTGGTGTGGTTCTCTCAAGGTTCTTATCAATTTTTTGGTAGGTCTATTAGTTGAGGACCTCAGTCAGTTAGTTAGTGTTCAGTGAGACGGTTACTCAGTTATTCAATTGAGTGGTTGATGAGGTATGCCAAAAGAAAGAGAGGTTGAAATGGCAGTCATTTGTTGTGTGGGAATTTGTAAAGGAATTGGGAGTTGGGCCTCTCAAAATTCCAGGAGTATTCATTTTGTTGTCTTTGCCTTGTTATTAATTTTGAAACCACATTGGGGCCTGGATTGGTAATTAGGGTTCTCAATCTAATTTATTCCTCATGTGCTCAATCTGAACCAGTTTCTGTCATTTGTGCACTTTCCGAATACCACTTACGCTTTTTTCTTTTACTCAAAAGCCCGTAGAAACTGAACAGGAAATTATACTTTTAGCAGAAATCATTTCATAAGGTTCCATTTTCTATTTTAGGTACTACTGCTCAATCCACTAGGGTATGTATTAATATATTTGATATAGAGTGAGTGTGGCCGTGTTCAATTAATTCCTTTTTTATAAAAATGCTCACCTGCCTTGGTCTTGGAGGATTATATGTGATACAGCATGGTGGAAGTGATAACAACCTCTTTATTTTCGTTTACTGGTGCCCATAACATCTGTCATATTTAAATTTAGTACCCTGGTGAGTCTGGAATTTTCTTTTTAACAGTTTAATATTTCCAGGTCTCCTCCTAAAATGATTGAAGGTCCTGATGGTAGGAACTTGCAGCTGCAATTCAAGTCCCGGTTGTCACTTCCCCTCTTCACAGGAGGAAAAGTGGAAGGCGAGCAGGGGGCGCCAATACATGTTGTTCTGATTGATTCCAATAGTGGAAGCGTTGTAACTTCTGGACCTGAATCCTCTGTAAAACTCGATGTTGTGGTCCTTGAAGGTGATTTTAACAATGAAGATGATGAAGATTGGACTCAAGATGATTTTGAAAGCCACATTGTAAAAGAACGGGAAGGAAAGAGACCTTTGTTAACTGGGGACCTGCAAGTGACACTCAAGGAAGGAGTTGGAACATTGGGGGAATTGACCTTTACAGATAATTCAAGCTGGATAAGGAGTCGTAAATTCCGTCTTGGCCTGAAGGTTGCCTCAGGCATTTGTGAGTCCATACGCATTCGTGAAGCTAAGACAGTGGCTTTCATAGTTAAAGATCATAGAGGAGAATGTAGGGTTATGTTTCTGCATCTTTAGTTTTTCTCTAGCATCAGTGCTCTCTTTTTTCCAACTACGTAATACCATTTTTTTTATTTAATATTTTTGGCCATTTTCTCAGTATATAAGAAGCACTACCCTCCTGCATTGACTGATGAAGTGTGGAGATTGGAGAAAATAGGCAAGGATGGATCATTTCACAAGAAGCTGAATAATGCAGGAATAGTCTCAGTTGAAGACTTTCTTCGGCTTGTTGTTAAAGATCAACAGAAATTGCGGAATGTAAGTTTAGGCTTTGGATCTTAATCTTTAAATTAGGTCTTTTTTCGGTTGTTTTCTTATATCATTTGACTGTAGATCCTTGGAAGTGGTATGTCAAACAAGATGTGGGAGGCTCTTTTAGAGCACGCAAAAACGTGTGTTCTAAGTGGGAAGCTCTATGTTTATTATCCAGAAGATGCAAGAAATGTTGGCGTTATTTTTAACAACATCTATGAGCTGCGTGGCCTTATATCAGGAGAACAATTCTTTTCTGCGGATTCTCTCACTGATAGCCAGAAGGTTAGTCTGCGTCATGTGTTTCTTCCACTGATATTAATAGCTAGAAGGTTATTACTTTAAGGTTTGATGAGCTTCTGTAGTTCTGTGTGATAGTTGTCCTTCAAAAGTTGAGCATACCGTTGTATTACTGGCATAGTTAGATATATTAATTTAATTGATGCAGCAATACTCTGTATGTTCTGCCCTTGCACTTGCAAACTTACGAATACTGGACACAAATACACATGTACATGTTAATGTTTCTAATTAAGAAATCCTAGATAATGATCAGACTTAACATTTATGATTTGCTAAGCTCAAAGTTTACAGTTTTCGTCAAAGTTTCTGTTGGGAGTAGTATCAGCTTATGGTATCTTTAAAATGCTTTTGCGAGTCCAGGTTTATGTAGATTCATTGGTGAAGAAAGCATACGACAATTGGGATCAGGTTGTGGATTATGATGGTAAATCACTTGTGAATGGTAACCAAAATAACAGGTCTATTGCATCTGAAAATGAACTTCGTGTTGAGGCAATTGATTACGGTAGTGGTTTAGATCATCAACTTCAACTGCCGGGACTTCCAGTGTCCGTTCCTTCTGAACAGCAAATAAATTCCGGGATGCCAGTTGGGGGTAAGCATTACTGTTTCCTTAACTTTGATTTGATGGATTCTCTCTTTTTCTGTTCCTACCCTCCTCTCCCTTTTCTTTTGAGCTGGGGCTTGTCAGATTCAATTACTTTTCCGTCTCAAATATGATTTCTGAATACAGCTTTCAATGTTAATAATAATAATTATAGAAATGAAATATTTTCTATAATATTGTTAATAAGAAAATTTTAAGGTTGTAAGTGTGTGATGATGATGATCTTGAGATGCAAATGTATGCTTATATCAGGTTATAATGATAGTATGGTATCACGATATCCAACCCAGTCATTGATTTCAAACTCCAGCACCCGGAGTCAGTTCGATAGCTCATTATATCTGTCTAATGACCAATTAATCAGCAATAGTCACCAAACCCCAAACACTAGAAATGATCATGGCCCAGTTGGGTTAGCTCTTGGACCTCCTCAATCATCCACGTCAGGGTTCCATGCTGGTAGCTCTTCTATTCAGCCATCTACTCTAAACCCTTTTGATGATTGGTCACACAACAGGGACAGGGGGGTTGATGAGTTCTTTTCAGAAGAAGAAATCCGCCTCAGAAGTCACGAAATGCTAGAGAATGAAGATATGCAGCACTTGCTTCGCCTCTTCAGCATGGGAGGCCACGGCTCCATGAGTGCGGAGGATGGCTATTCATTCCCAACATACATGCCATCACCCAATATACCAAACTATGATGAGGATCGCTCTCGCCCAGGCAGAGCTGTTGTGGGATGGCTGAAGATCAAGGCAGCAATGAGGTGGGGCTTCTTTATCAGGAAGATAGCAGCTGAGAAGCGGGCACAGATAGAGGAGTTAGATGAGTAGGTTGTTTGGACAATGGTTCAGGCTTAACGGTTAGCCTTAAGAGCATACTGATATTCTGCAGATTTAGTTGTCGTTATCAGTGCCAACCAAATTGTGCAGTCCATGGTGTTGATATTTAATTTATGCATCTGTGTATCTGATTTGACCGCCAGAATGTCCCTGTATCCTGTACAGTGTGTTACTGCTTATATGTTTTTCTCTTTTACGTTTATGCTCCTCACTTTCTATTGGCTTTGGATTTTTAGGGATGATGTGTTTACGCAGCACCTCATTTGAGACGATAACTAAGACTGGTCATCTCACTGTATATTTTTGAGCTACTTGATTTCTAGTTGTATTATCATGAGTTATATTATCTATTGTGCTGTTGAACATTGGGTGCTCGTTATACTGTTAGTTGACTTAACATATCAAGATTTTTGCAGTATATCGATGAGCATGTATTATTACCTTAGTTATGCTTGTATATCATCTTCTCCAACCATTTCCGTATCCAGTGTTTATTTGATATTGTCTTCTCCATATGAAGTAAGAAGTAGAAAGATTGATTGGTTGCACCAGTAGCGGAACTGGTTAACCCCGCAAAAAGGTTTTGGGTCTTGCGTAGTTGTGATATAAATAGGTATAGGATTGGTTAACCTCCACCAATCCCATTGATTTACCGATGGAAAATTATTCCTCCCAGTGAGATTTTTTATGACGTTTTCTCAGTTTTTATTTCAAATTTTAATTAAATGTAGTTTATTATAGTTGTTTACATGTAAATCCTTTCACAAATCTTTTTATTATTTTTCTCTTTTTTATCCATTTAAAATCAATATTATAAAGTAATTTTTGTAATTTCAATATATACTAAAAGTGATGTGTGATCAAGGGTTTCAAGATAGGTTGATTCAATGAGCTGGTTAAAAAAATCTTAAAAATGTTAGATTTGGGAAAAAATTATCATAAAATAATAATAATTTTTAAATATAAATATATTAAATATATATATATATATATATATATATATATATAATATAAATTAATTTTAAAAAATTCACTTATTTTAGAGATAAGTGGTTGTGATTTATTTTTCATTTTCAATATTCATTTTCATGTAATAATCATGAAGTTATTTTTCAATCTATTTTATATAATAACTTTTTAAATAAAAATAAAAATAATATTATTTTATTAATATATATATATATATATATATATATATATTATAAATTTAATTTGAGAAGAGATTTAATTATTTTAAAGATAAGTATTAGTGATTTATTTTTCATTTCTAACATTATTTTTTAGTAATATAATAATTACAATAAATTATTAAATTATTAAAAATGAATGACAACAATAGGAAATAAGTTTTTATATAAATGAGTTTTTTATCTTTTAATTATATATAATCATTGTTGTCGTCGGCGTCAAAACGAGGCGGTTCGGAGCGACGCGATGGTTTCGACTTTCCATTTTTCGCGTTTTTATTGGTGTGGTTACAACGCCTTTAGGTTGTCCGATAACCGGGCTGAACCTAGAGGCGAGGTTTTCGAAAAGGCGCTCTTGGATTATCCGATAACCGGGCTAACCCAAGAACTAACTTTTGAAGGGTTCTTCTGGAGTCGTCACCGATGTTTTTACCGGAAACATCAGAAAAGGAATGAAAAAGGTGTTGGTTTTCGAAAAACCAACTTTGGTCATTAGAACCAGAGTTGGGTAAGGGAATTAGTTACGTGTAAGGGAAGTATTAGTTCCCTTACGACGCCCCTTTCAGGTTCCCTATGATAGGCCAACTATATTAAATAATTAAACCGGTGAAAAATACGCTTTTACCCTTTATTTTGCGGAATTTAAAGATTATGACTACATGGCCCTATATCTATTGCATAATTGAAATAAAGCGGTAAAAGAGAGAGAAAGAGTATAGAAACCTCCGAGGCACGCTTTCTATTAATTCTTTAAAAATTTGGGTGCTTTTTGGCAGCCCTTCGCTCTTTACAACGCCGGAATCTCTCAAAAACGCTATAAAAAGCTCTAGAAAACACTCAGAAACTCCGGAAATGCTTCGGAGGGGTTCTAGAGAGAGAGTGGAAGAATTGTGGGAAATGAGGGGAATGGCGCTCCTATTTATAGGGATTCGCGCGCTGTCAGGTCGAGACGGGCCATCTCGTCTGACAAGGTCGAGACGGCCGTCTCGCCACCTTCGCAAGGCGAGACGGCGGTCTCGACCCTAAAAGGCGAAAACCCTTATTTTCATGCCGAAAATCCCTCCTATCCTAGTATGGGGCCTAATAGTCTCTCTTAGTGGCTTCTTAGGCTTCATCCATCTTCGAAAAGGAGGTCTTCTGGTCTTTATTATGAGGTCGGGCAAAATTTGGGGTCTACAGCTGCCCCCCCTTTACCTGACCAATCGGTTGTTGGCCCGTTGTGCCAAGAAGATCGACTAGAAGGTAAAGGAGTTGACCCTCTTGCTCGATTACCCTTCGGATGATCCGTTTTGCGGCGGTTGATCTTCTGGGGAAAAAGTATGTTGTGCGCCTCCGGGATGCTCCTTCTGACGGTAGCTGATCCTTTCGGTTGATGAGTATGAACCCTCATCTGGTTTGACAAGTATGAACCCCCGCCTGGTAAGCCCCCTTTTTGTAAGGCCTGATGAGTATACACCCTCATCTGGTGTTTGACGAGTATGAAACCTCGTCCGGTAAGCCCCATTTTGTAAGGCCTGATGAGTATACACCCCCATCTGGTGTTTGACGAGTATGAACCCCCGTCCGGTAAGCTCCCTTTTGTAAGGCCTGATGAGTATACACCCCCATCTGGTGTTTGACGAATATGAACCCCCGTCTGGTAAGCCCCCTTTTGTAAGGCCCGATGAGTATATACCCCCATTTGGTGTTAAGCCTCAAGATGCTCCTTCTTGCGGTAACCGATCCTTTAGCTGTGGTGACGGCTTACTGCTCTAGCTCATGCGCCGAGCGTTGAGATATGTTCTCTTGTCTTCTAAGATTGGTCCGGTCTATGCCGGGGATCTTGTTGGTGTTCATCCAGCTTGTTGATTGCTGGGGATTCTTTTGTTTTTTATCTCTTGGTATTTGTCATCCGACTTTGCTGGTTGTCGGGGATGTTTTATGAGTGCCTCTTAGGTAGGCAGGAATCCTCTAGGGATTTGTTAATCTTGGGGACGCCTCTTAAGTAGGCGGATATCCATTGAAAATTTGCTGATTTTGATGGTGTCTCTGGGCAGGCAGGTACTCCATTAAGTTTTTGGTAATGCCTCTGAGTAGGCAGATGCTCTATCGGTAGTGAAGACTTTCGGCTGCATTTGTTTTGCCTCTGACTAGGCTGATATTTCCCTATGGGGATGCTGGCTCTTGCTTGCCAGGTCTTGCCTATGTGTAGGCAAATGACATTCTGAGGATGAATTTGAAGTTTTTCCTTTGCGGTAGGCTCACTGGGGATGATCTTTCTCTTTTTTGGTGATCCATCGGGGAATTGATTGCCTTCCTGGGGATCAGATTTTGGTAGCCCTTTGGGGGAATGGAGTTTTGACTCTTTATAGGTGCGAGCTTGCTTTTGTGATGCTCTTATTCTATTGGGGGATGGATTTTCCGATTCCGTTTTTGTTGTTTTTCCCCTTTTATGAGGTGACCCACTTAGGGATTTTTATTCGACCTTCTTTGTCACGGTCTTTTTGTCATCTGCTGGAGATGAAGGGTTTTCTTCTTTTTTCTCTTTTTGTTGAGCCCTTGATGGTATGGAGATTGGACTCTTTTGACTGTTGATGATGATGATGGGATCTTGGAGCCTTTATTCTCCATTGGGGAGTGTGGAGTGTGGAGGAGACTTTGGGTGAGTGTGCTCGATGACTCATGTAGTAGCGATGCCGAGCTGTGAGAAATATTTTTGTTTTGCCTTTGGAGTAGGCAGAGATCCTCTTGGGGATGACTAAGCCTTTCCGTTGGCTTTTCTTTTATGATGTCTAATGATTATGCCCTCTTTTATTGGGTAGAAAAATGATGACTGGAGTTTTGGCTTTTTGAAGCTTCTTATTTCTTCTGAGCTTATTTGATGATGACAACTCGCTCTTCTTTCTTGAGGGAGAGCAATGTTTGAAGACTTCTTATATGTGCCTTTTTTCTGGGTAGAAGGATGGTAGCTGGAGCTCTTGATTTTTAGAAGCTCTTATTCTGCTGAGTCGCTTGATTGACGACTTGCTTCATTTTCTTGAGGGCATTATTTGGAGACTCAGTCTCAGTGATCCTGTTTTCAATCACAAAAATGGAGCTAGTCTCCTTATATGCATGAATGCTTTTCGATTTTTGTTATTTTTCTGAAGTAATTTTTATTTCTTTCATTTTTCACATTGGCAAAGTCGTTTTATGCGACTACTTGTGTGTGGATGCCCTAAATGCAATCTATTCTTTTTGATTGATGCATCTGGAAAAGTGACTGACATTCTCCTGCTGGACTTTTTATGATTATGATGAAGGGCCCCTCTCTTTTATTCATTTTTTGGTTTAGCCCTATCTTTTGCCTAGGCCGCCCTTTTGGGGGTTTTCGGTCTAACGGGCTGTCTTAATTTTTGCCTAGGATATCTTAACGGTTTTTTTTTTTTTTTTTTATGAATGCCCTAACTTTTGCCTAGACCGCCCTTTGCGGGTTTTCGATCTAGCGAACTACCCTAACTTTTGCCTAAGAATCTCCTAGCAGGCATTTTTTTTTTTCTCATTTCTCTTTTCTCTTTTCTTTTTGAGAGAAAGGACCCTATGCATGTATGTAATGTTTGTGATATGCATCCTATAATACTATTTCAATTAATTTTTCAAAAAGATTAACCAATGTGCTTTTACTTCTGATGAGCTTCTGACGTTATGTGCTTTCGTCGACAGGATAGGCTGTGCCAATTTTGCCGTATCGATTTTTTCGTGACCGAAGAATGATTGTGTTAATTGTAAAGCGACTTGCCATGTAAGTGTGCCCCTCCCTTTCCTTGGGGATGTCAATCCTCCTAT